AATTAATCATTATATCATTATATTAGTAAATAAATTTAAGTTAATTGAAAANAAGATCAATTTTGATAGTCTCTATTTATAACATTATTGAATGAATATTGCAAGAATTATACAAACGAAATATATTAATGCTAAATTTATATTATTATCATTAATTAACTATTATATCACTAAATTTAATATTATTATCATTAATTAATCATTATATCATTATATTAGTAAATAAATTTTAAAGTTTAATTTGAAAAAAGAAAGAATTAATTTTGATAGTAATTATAGTTTATCGCTTATTTGTATGCCTATTTTTTATTATCATTTAATTACCATTTTTGTTCATTCCTACATAATAACATGTATACTTTACTAATAGCTTATTGTATCAACAATACTTATAACAATATGTATACTTTATTAATAGCTTATTGTATCAGTAATATTTATAATAATATGTATACTTTACTAAGAACTTATTGTATCAGCAGTACCTATAATAATATATATACTTTACTAAGAGCTTATTGTATCAGCAGTGCTTATAATAATATGTATACTTTACTAATAGCTTATTGTATCAGCAATACTTTTACTAATCATATATATTTGATTTATTATTCTTCAATGATAACTAATATGTATACATTTATTATTGTATTTAACTTTTTGGGAAAAAGTAAAACAAAAAAAAAAGAAGAGAATGAAACGAAAATATCTTTTCATTAATCAAATTCGTGTAAATATTTGAATTTGAAAAGAGTAAAAAATATTCTCAAGGGATATTTTGTCATAAATAATAGCTAAATTTATTCAATAATGTTTGAATAAAGAAAAATAGAAAGAAAAAAAGTGACAGGATTACTCGAAATAATATTAATTTGAATTATGGGAAAAAAAAATTTTTTTTTTTCAGAAAAGAAGGGTTGCATAATAAAAGTAAGATTGATTAGTTTTTTCCGATTTCGTTTTTTTTTTTTAATTTATTCGTTATTTAAATTTGATTTTTATTTTATTCATTCAATCTTAACCCATTTAGGATGTAATTTTCAACGATGAATTGCAAGTAATACACAAAAAGTAATTGTAAATTTAAAAAAAAAAAATTATCAATTATTTTCTTTTTTTTTCCTTTTCATACAAAATGGTAAGAAAAAAAAAATTGCCATTTTTGTGAAAATAATTTATGAAGACTTAAATTAGATGTGAAGTTTAAATTAAATCTGAAAAAATTAAAAAAAAAACGAAAAGGAATACTGTAGTAATATTTCAACTCTTTGTTGTTTTCTTTTTTTTTCAAATAAACATTTTGTTTACAAATTTACTGGCACAAGTCTTTGAACATTTGTACTCGTTTACATTATTTGTTAAATATTTCAGAGAAAAAAAAGAAAAAAAAAAATCTTGAAGAAGAAAAAAAAAAGCAAACTACTACAGTATCAAAACTTATCAAATCTATGTTAAAAGCGCATCCATGTGACAGTCTTTTTGTCATATAAATTAAATTAAGTGAAAGATTTAAATAATATTTCAAAATTTTAAAAGAAAAAAAGCAACTATAGTGGAATGCTAAACATTATTGAAATTTAGTAAAATTCTAAATTAAAATTAATTACTTACAAATTTCAAATATTATTTGTAAACATCTTTTTTTTGAAATTTTTTTTAATGATTTTATTAAATAATTAATAAATCCAGTAAAAAGTAAAAAAATAAAGAAAAGGGATTAAAAAAAAAAAATTAGTCGGTGGAAACAAATTATCAGTGGTTTACCGAATATGAGTATTCCGGAATTGTTTTTTCCTTTTTTCTTTCTCCGGAATATTGGCATTTATAAAAATATCAATATTTCTTAAATATATCATGCAACTGATTGATCTTTCTATATTCGTTTATTCTTTTTTTTTTTTCTTTTTCTATCATTTGTCCTCTAAATATATGTAATTTATTGTAATTTCATTATTTATTTTTTATGTATTCATCGATCTTTATATCTTATCAATTCATTCGTTCATATTCGATCCATTTAATCTTTGTTCATTCAATTTCTCATCTGATCATTTGTTTTATAACCTTTAACCTTTAACC